TTACCACAGTTACCTTGAACCATGGTTACACATGCTGGTACTGTGACCACATCATCAGATATAGCAGTAAAAGGATGAAGCGATGAGGGGTACCGTCAGCACTGTAAGGTTGTAAGGAGGCAAACAAGATTATACTTTTTACAGCAACATTATTTATTATTAATTATTTGTTATTTTAAACATTGTTTTTGGCTTTAAATGTCAGAAAAAATCAAACAGTGAGTTAGGTTAAAATCAAATTATGGATAAGAATCATAGAACAAGAAGTCTTTATAAAAATTACAGAGGGATAAACAATCTAATTTAGTTTTAAGACACTTCTATAAAAAGCAGGAGCTCTGGTGATGTAGTGCCTAAGGCACTTGACTGCTAACCAGAAGGCTGGTAGTTCAAACCCACCCGCTACTCCTCAGAAGGAAGATTGGGCAATCTACTTCTATAGTGATACCACCTCAGAAACCCAAGGAGGGGTCGCTATGAGTTGCATCCAACTTGATGGCAATGAGTTTGGTTTTTGGTTTTTTTATAAAAAGATATTTTATTTCTGGTGGCTTTGAAGCATGTACTGTTCTAGTGCAGAAGTCAGCAAACTTTTTCTATAAATAAACAGATAATTTGGGCTTGTTGGGCATATAGTCTGTCACAACTAAACACTACTGTTGTAGTATGAAAATAGCTATATACAATATGTAATGGGTGTTACTGTGTTCCAATAAAACTTTATTTGCAAAAATAGGTTAGCAGGCTGAATTGGACATAAGAGCTAGCCAATCTTTGTTGTATACTAGAGCTGTCCAATAGAAATATAATGTGAACCATATTATGTAATTTAAATTTTTCTAGTAGTTATAGTAAAAACAGGTAAAATTAGTTTTAATAATATATTTTATTTAACCCAATATATCCAAAATATTTCAATATATGTAATAATTAAAAAAAAACTATTAATGAGATCCTTTATATTTTTTTTATACTAAGTCTTTGAAACATGTATTTTCCAGTATAAAAGCCATATTTCAAGTGCTCAACAGCCACATGTGACAATGGCTACCATGTTGGATGGGGATGTCCTAGATCTCCCATGCTGGGATTTCTAAACCTAATCTGCAGTTTAGTGACACAGTATTGAGATCTGGTTCGTGAAAGACAGGGGATATGATTATGTTGTCCCAGAGGAACATAGGGCAAGAGATTACAACTGGTTGGGAAGAAATCATTTGGCTTCAGTCACTTTAAGCTGAGGTGGCCTAGAATTCTAGGGCATATAACAAATCTAATGCTAGAAAATATTTGATGTAGCCCAAAAGTCATCAAGATGAATCTGTAGCCTTTAATAAAGAATGCTAATTGACACTAACAAAAGATTGACTAATTTTTATCATTTTGATTATATTGGAATTGAAAGCATGTAATACAAGAATGTGATTTGGAAGATAAATAAAGAACTTGTGTAGCAAAGATAAAAGCTTCTAAATTAGACTGAACTTTAAAAATGATTTAAAATAAAATAATAAATACTTTTTCAATTACCTTATATAACACAGATTAATGCTAGTAAGCAGTAGTTTAACAAGTTGCCAAAGGATAATCATTAGCTTTAGTTTCATCCTTCGGAAGCTTTTAATGGCTTAAACACAACTTTCTAAGTGATATATGATCATTTTCAAGATAAGAATGGACATAAAATTCTGTAATGAAACTTAGAGGCAAATGTTTTTAACAAAAAATTTATTACCAAAATACAATATTAAAGTCAATACATGACAAACTCCTGTAAAGCAAAATAAATTATTCTAACATTGTACAGTATTTCCAAAGGTAGTTAAAGAAGAGCTATGGACTTTGCTTCATTGTTTGTTCTGAACAGGTAAACTGTTCTACCATGAACACAATCCTAGAGTTTTAGGCTTTAAGGCATGCAGCTTGATGTGCAGGATAATTTTACAAAACGCAAATCATCCTCTTTTAGTAAGATACAATGTCAGAATTAACTGTAGTCTTTACATGTCAGTGTTCCAGAAGTTTTTATACTTTGGCTATAGAAGCAATGCCATAGTGTTACACAATACTTATTTCTTAAAAAAATACATGTATTCATGTTCATGAATATCAAACTCAAATTTCTATTAAATATATTTTATAGAACATTACTTAGAGCACCTTGCTGTACAGTAAAAAACAAGATTAAATAAGTGTCTAAGAAAACTAAAAATAGGTATTAATAGAGAAGCCTGCTTGTCTTTGTCAAACCAACTACACTGTAGATGATACGACGTAAACACACATGCCCACCATTTGCCTTGTAAGAAAGAGTCAAAATAATTATGAAACCACTGACAGCTACTTCAAATAGGATGAAAGATTTCAAACAAAGGGTCCAGTCAGTGACACCACAGGACACAGAACTTAAAAGTCTAAAGATAAATGGAACATAGGTATGGTACTGCTGGGACATCGAGGACATCAATCATATTCTGGATTTCCAGAGAAAAGTAGAAAATGACAGAGCCCTAAAAAAGTTATTTATAACGATCAGAATAAATCCTCTTTCCTCTCCCTATGTTTATTTAGTAAGTATCTTTCAAAAACCATTTTCACATCATATCTTAGAACTGTAAATGTCCAGTGCAGAAAAAAAATGAGTATGAGCTTTGTAGGACAAAAGTCAATAAATAAAAATTTATTCCTATAAAGGGGATTCCTATTGATTAATTTAATACATATGTCTTCTACAATTATAACTGCACATTTAGTCTTCACTATTACTTTTAGAAATGCTCAGTTGTTCATGGTAGAGACTCTGTTAACTTAAGGCTTGTCACAAAACAAGAATGGGAAGGTACAGAACACCCCTGGCACATGGTTCTTTCTTCAGGTGAGGAGAAAGGTTTTGAGGATATTCAAGGCCTGAATCAGATCAAAGTTTAAAGGCTTTCAACTTCTTGCTTAAAATTCTTCCCCAAGTGCTGGGGAAATTTTAAACTCATGATTCCAAATGAAAATAAGTAACACTGAAGGAAAGTGGTTTAAGGAAATGAAGAAAAAGCAAATTAAAAACTTCACATTGTTGAAAAAATTTTGGATTTTTTTTGGTTAGAAGTAGTTTCCAAATGATTATAGAAAATTAAAGCCAAGGTAAAATTTATAAAACAAAATTCTTCGAAGGTTGCTAATTTTCAGAATAACAGCTTTTTACATAGAAACACTGAGCCACAATTACCAGCAACGAAAAAATTTACCTATGGTATGAGTGCCAACAATACAAATGATAATAGAACCATTTAAAATATTTTATTTGAACTTGAAATTAAATACATTTCAATTCTGCAAACAGGAGAAAATTACTATAAATCCACACACAGTGGATTCAGGGAATATAATTTAGTATATATAAATTCATTTTATCTTCTAAAAAAACATCAAAAATGGATGAATTTTCATAAATAAATTAAAGCTACCTAAATTAATGAGCTGCAAGTTACAATCTTTTTAAAATATCATCCAAATGAGATTAAAAAACTAATCAGACAATGTTCCAAGATGCCTGGCCCCACTTAAATAATTCCTAACACTATAAAAATGTTAATTTATTCAGTTCATACCTGGACTTTGGGAACAGAATTCCTTCCTATAACGTGTCTATAGAATATCCTATTCAAAAATTCTCTTTTCGATGTTCTAAATTTGCCAGAGTCACAGCCTTGACTATAGAAGATGTTAGAAATCAAATTTAGAAATAGCACCATGAGCACGGTGCACTGAATGATGCACCAGCCTTCATACTTGTCGAAAGAACTTTCTTTAACAAGATAATGCATAAATAAATGATCAGAACTACAAAAAGAAAAAACCCTGTTCTCTTCACTCTGAAGTACATTATGATACAAAATGTGTTATGAATGAAGGCAAGATTATATCTATTTGATAGCAGGTTTTAATGTAAAAGCACTTTTAGTTGGTTTTCCATACGTCCTATTATACCTTAACAAAATGAAATTTTCTAGATAAGAGAAATCCCATAGACTTGACATATGCTGTTTGTTATTAAAGTTTTTATAAACAACTTGAATTTTTATTATGTTTTAGCCACATCTGTTTATTCCTCTTATGTTAAGTGTGTAACTAGGCTACTAAACTCTGGGAAGAAAAATCTCAATAACAGTATTTGTTTTAAGGAGATAGAGAATTCCAGTCCTTATCCCCCAAATTATTTTTATCTTAAGAGTTCAAACTATTTTCAAGGTCTGATGACGAAGTACAAATTTTACTTTTTATTTTTGCCTTAACAGACTCTTTCAGAAAATAAGCTTGCTCTAGCTTAGAAGAGAGGATTATGTCTATGCACTATTGAGAAAGCATGCAGGGCTCTGACACACACCCTAGAAAGAACCTTTGAGAAGTGTGCTGCCCTCAGTGAGGTACCATTTCTATGAAAGTTGACATTTGGTTTGAGTCGGGTGGGAATTCACTCCTTTGCCCGCTGAAATTTAAGACACTAATTTAATTCTTAATTGCCTATTTACAATCCAGACATAGATTTAGAGGTCTTTTTTTCTTTCTTTCCTTTTTAAGGAGCAAAGGAACATATGCTAAACTGAGTATATGATTAAGTCCAATCAATTGAGGGCAGGATTTAGGTAGATTATTTCAAAGCCTTCTAAGTAATTATTTTCTTGTTGACTCTGATGGTAACACTGGAAAACAAACCTTAGAAAGCTACTTCCCATTTTTCACATGTCTAGACTTGACATGTCAAAGTTGAGAATGAAGAAAACTAACCTCTGCTTAAGATTGTGCACTTTTATAACAGTAAGTTTTAGAACAGTTCCTGAAAAGCCAATTCTTAACCCTTGCTTGTATGTCTACACTATGATAAGCTTTTTAATGATAAATACATTCAGCACTAGGAAAGGGTGATAGAGAGTTAATACAGGATTACATTTTTGCTTCCTCTTAAAAATCAACCCACTTCCCTTCACTCAAAATATATACCACTTACTCATTTGGAATTCCTTTTATTACATTACAAATCTGTTTCCAAAGTCATTGCTGTCATTTCCTCAAAAATCACATAATTTCTTCTTCTATGTAGTAAATTATTTGACATTAGCACAAAGGCAAAATTGTCGTTTAAAGGAATCTTCTAACCTTTCCCTCTTCAAGTCATCATTCCATCTAATTTGTGTTTAGAGTTGTGTTGTGGTCCTTATTTAGGATGATGTTTACAATTTCACCCTCATGCTCTTTCATATGATCCAAGAGGTTTTCTTTGCTGGTTGATTCAAAACCACAAATACAACAACAGAAGAGTAAAACACAATACTCCATACTGGGAGTGACCAGACTGGAGTTTTTTTCTAAACTATATGAGGTATTACTTGTCAGGCTCAGTTTCTCACTCTCGTTGGGACCTACAACTTCACAGGGAGTCTGGGAAATCAGCTCTGAGGATGACACCAAATTTTCTGAACTTCCAATGATAGGGTTGGTTCTCTCTTCACTGCTGTGTAATAGAGTCTTTCCAGGGGATTTCCCCAGAACTCTTAAAAACAAAACAAAACAGCAAATTTTCAGTTGGTGCTAATGTAGGTCTAAAATATTTAATCCTAACTTTATATATAACAAGAGAGGAAACAGGGAAAATTACCTGCCACTTTGTGAAATTGCATCATTAATAGCCTTGTTTACTTGTTCGTAGTTATAATTTTGGTCACTTGCATGTTTCCACATGTGAGACTTCAAAGAAGGAGGATGGCTGCATACATACCCACACAAAGAGCATCTGAAAGACAAGTGTAGGAAAATCAGAGTGATCTATAACACCATTTTTTAAAATAATGATTCTGTAAATTATTAAATTCCTTCTCCTGAAGACTTATTGTATGTCACTGAATCTAAGATGTCACTGATTGTAAGATGTGTGGCCTATATCAGTGCAATACAACATTTTATATTATAAAGAATTTATAAGAAGCAAGACAAACATTCCAGACTTTAGCTATTACAATATTTGGAAAGATTCCTAATAAGGAAACATACAAAATCTTTGCTCCAATTTACTTAACTACACATACAAACAAAAACACACAAAATCAATACAACACCAGAGGAACCTAGGTGGCATGGTGATTAAAGGGCTTGACTGCCATACTAAAAGGTCAGTGGTTCAAACCCACCAGCCATTCTATGGGAGGAAGATAAGGCAGGGTACTTCCATAAAGATTTACAGCCTGGCAACTCTATGGGGGCAGTTCTACTATGTCCTGCATGGTCACTACCAGTCACAATAGACTCTACAGTAGTGGAGCAACATCTAAAAAGCAAAAAGGAATTAAATAATCTTCAACATGAACTTTGCTCTTATTTACAGACTCACAGACAACAGAAACAGTAGTCCTAAAAAAATAAAAATAAAAATTGGCCCATATAATTGAGTACCTTTGGTAAGATCTGAATTCAACAATGATGTACTTTTTAAAACTTAACTTGGTTGGGGAAGTTTCAGGTTTATAGAAAACTGAACAGATATTACAGAATTTCCATACAATCCCTCCCCTTCTCTAAATTTCTCCTAATATTAACATCATACATTAGTGTAACAGATTTGTTACAACTGAAGAACCAATATTGATACATTATTATTAAAGTTAATAGTTTACTAGAGTTCATTGTTTTTGCTTTTCTGAGTTTTGATAAATGCGTAATATGTATCCATTACGGTATTAAACAGAACTGTTTCACTTCCCTAAAAATGCCCTATGTTCTAACTATTCATTCCCTCTCCAAATCTTTGGCAACCACTGTTCTTTCCACTGTCCATAGTTTTGCCTTTTCTACACTGCTAAACTGCTGGAATTATACAATATGTGACCTTTACAGGTTACCTTCTTTCACTTAGAAATATTGTATTTTCATACAAATCACACACATTATACATTTTTTGGCCAACCACACACCCTCCCCCACCAGGTATTTTTATAAGCATGCTATGAAAATTTTTTACAACACATAAAGAAATTAGCATAGAGGATGGCCCAAAACCCATATAACATGCATAACATGGGTGTTAATTGGAGAAAAATACGGTATGCTTTTAAGGTTAAGGAGCTCTGGTAGCATAGTGCCTAAGGCATTTGACTGCTAACCAGAAGGCTGGTGGTCCAAACACACCAGCCACTCCTCGGAAGAAAAGTTGGGCAATCTAGTTCCCTAGTGATACCGCCTCGGAAACGCCTCGGGTCGCTGAGTTGGGCCCGACTCGACAGCACACAACAACGACACCTTTTTATGGTTGAGAGCTTATTTCTTTTTTATCACAGAATACTGTTTGCACTACAGCTTATTGATATACCTGTTGAATGACATCTTGGTTGCTTCTAGCCAGCTACTGGCAATTATGAGTAAAGCTACTATAAACATTCATGTGCAGGTTTTTATGGTAGACATAAGCTTTCACTCATTTGGGTAAATACCTAGGAACACAATTGCTGGATTGTACAGTAAGTCATGTTTATCTTTTTAAAAACTGCAACAGTATTTTTTAAATGCCATTGTTGTATGTGTGTGTGTAAAATAATTGCACACTAAACAAATCAAGTAACTCATCTGAACTATTCCCAACAATAGACATCATAAGCATTAACAAAGCACAAAGAAACTGAATGGTGTAAGTGTAAATAAAACAACACAGCAAGGAGTAAACCTTATTGTAACCCACCAATTTGTTCTGAGGCATTAGGTCCAAGGCCAACAACCTTTTACCTCAAGAAATACCAGCCCCACTTAAAGGTGATAAATAGGCCTATCTCAAAAGAAAGTAAGTTCAAACTTAGGAAAAGATGTTCAATCTCACTAATGATCAGGGAAACGTATCACATCCATCAGACTGGCAGAGATAAGTACATCTAACAATGCCACTGTCCCAAGGATGTGGAGAAATAGAATGCACAAATTGTTAGCAGGCATGTCTAAGCATTCTGAAGAACAATTTAGTATAGTGAAACCTGTTAAAGCTGGAATCTGTATAAGGCAGAAACCTTTCAAAAAAGGAAAACTCAAATATTTTCCACTAAAATAATTACTTCAGCCTAATATTCTCTGAAAGCCAGAACTTGCGAAACATGGACATAACCAGAAAATTAATACTGCAACTCAAATATAAGGAAGTACAGATGCAAAAGCCAGAAACAGTTCTAAGAAGAACAAGAGTCAGAGTGAAGGCTAAGTCTTCTCCTTTCTTTTACACTGTTACTGTGTGTGGGTACGACCTGTTTATCACTACTGTTCTTTGAGTACTTTTTTTTTGGCTAGTAAATTTTTTTCAGTGAAGAACAACATCTGTAAGTTTGAAAGAAGGTAAAAAATGCTAGTAAGTTCCTTTATTTCTATTAAAATTAGCAAAGCACACTTTTTCCTCTTGTCTTGAAAGTTTTTACTCTTATCTTTAATTTTTAGTTTTCAGTTTAGCTATTTGTAATTTTGATACACATTATTACAATTTTCAAAATCTACTCCTTCATTTCCTTGAAATTCTTTCCTTCAAAATTTCTTGTTTTGCCCAAAACATAGAGAAGCATTTTTTCAATACATTCAATGTGTGTACAAAAGCAAAATCATTCTTCTCATGGGTTTATTTTTTTCATAAATAAATAATTTAGTTAAGTATGCTTACTTTATCATGTAATTATATTGATAGTTTTCATTTTTTTCTTTTTATTTGACACATTTACATTTTTGAGATCATAAATTCCTTAATTTTTATAAGAACTTATTTTGTTTTTTTAAAACCTTCCTTCATAGCCGTGGACAAAAGAGTGAGAAATTTATCTCTGAAACAAAAGTCTGATGTTGTCAAAATTATAACCATAGAGAAAAAGACCATCAAGGAAACTAAGTTCAAGTGCAGCAAAATGCAAATCTACTCAATTATAAAGAAAAGGACAATTGAAAAATACATGAACAGCACCAACATAAACTTCAAGACAGGGACAGAAATTAGCAGAAATCAAGAGATCTATTTTTGAGTGGTTTCTTCAAGCCTTCAAAAATGTAACTATTTCACTATCTATCCTGTAAAGGAAAATGAGAAAACCTTTAAAAGTTAAAGGATTCTTAGTGTTTAGAGCTTCAAGACAAACAAAAAAAACACAGAATCACCTATAATGCAGTTTTGTAGGGAGTCAAACGAGGTTCACTAAAACGTTATTCAAAACTGGTTCACAAAATTAAGGAAATATGATGCTAAAGACATTACAAATACTGATGAAACTGCTTTATTTTACAGAAAACCAAATCAAACCCACTGCCATCAAGTCAATTCTGGCCTCACAGCAACCCCTATTGGGTTTCCAAGGCTGTAAAGCTTTACAGAAGGAGACTGCCTCATGTTCTCCGCATGGAGCAGTTGGTGGGTTGGTACTGCCCATCTTCTGACTAGCAGCCAAATAAATGCCTTACCCACTACACCATCAAAGCTCTTACTACTTTGCAGGGCAATACCTAATAGGACTCTGAAAATGAAGGGGGGAAAATGCTCCTGGAATTGGTTTTCCAAAGAGTAGCTTACTGTCCTCTTGGCCACATTTGCAGTTGGGGTATTTGAGAAACCATAGGTAACTGAAAAGAACAAGAAACCATGGTGCTTTAAGGATACCAAAATTAATCAGCTTTCAGTGGAATATATATGGAATAAAAAAGCTTAGATGACAGCAACTATTTATGAAGTTTTTTTTTTTTTTTAAATAAACTCATCCACAGCATGAAAAACAAAATCAAATTATTCTTTTGTTCATTGACAAAGCTACCTGCCACCAGCTACTGCCTCAAATAGCAATTTTTTCCCCACCATCCATGATATTGGTCCTATAACCTCTGGATAATAGCATTATCCAAAATATTAAAGTAAACTACAGGAAGCTAGGCTTCAAACAGTAACTGCCAACATTGAGATATGTAAGATGGCATTGGAGATTTTTGGGAAAATTGATGTCCTTGATGTAATTTCATTTCTTTAGTAACCAATTAAAATGATTAGGGAAGAAACTGTAAGAAAATGCTTTAAGGACTGCAGTTTCTCATTTGGCAGTGGTAACAGTATGCAAAATAAAATGGTTACTGAGCCGGGTAACACCATGCAGATTCAGGACACAATATATGCCATTTATAGCAGTGTTTCAGAAAATAGGGTCAGTGTGGCATCTTACACTGATACTGACAAAGAAATTGCCACAGAAATAAGATGATATAAACCTACAAGGAGCTGTGGACTCAACCTAAAGATAACAATGATGAAGATGATGAAAACCTACCATTAGAAGAGCAAAATAAAGTTTTTAGCTATATAAAGTCACTGAAGGAATTCAGAAAAGTTAAAGAAGACCTAGAGTTTTTTGATAAGAGCAAGGACTTAGAAATTTGTTTCAGTAATTTCATAAAAAAAAACTATAAATAGTTGACATTACGTTTTTATTAAAAAGTGAATTTTACCCCTATCTTTGCTTAAATGGTACATGCACAAATCTGTACATAATTTGAACAAACATGCAAATTGTAAAAAATGGTTTTGTGTCTTTTTCAGTCCTATAAATTGAAAAGAACACTTTGTGGGTGCTAATGAGGTAGTGCCTAAGGCATTTGACTGCTAAGCAGAAGGCTGGCCGTTCAAACCCATCAGCCACTCCTCAGAAGGAAAACTAGGCAATCTACTTCCGTAGTGATACCACCTCGGAAACCCAAGGAGGGGTCGCTATGAGTCAGGACCAACTCGATGGCAATGAGTTAATG